CTGGATTTCTGAGGAGGGTTCAGGGCCAGGCAAAGTGGTTTGGGGATGTGGGGGTTTAACGGTTTTGCCTTCGGGAAACTGCTGTTTGATGGCGCCCGCACCTGCCAGCACTGGTACCACCACCAATCGCCCCCTTCCATTTCCATTGGTGTGAATATGCTTGAATGGGTGGTGGGTGGTGCTCTATGCTGCTGCTGTGGTGCTCTATGCTGCTGAGGTGCTCTGTGCTACTGTGGTGCTCTATGCTGCTGTGGTGCAAGCATGCTGCTGCTGTGCTCAAGCGTGTGCTGATGAGCCGAATTTGGGGTGTACAGCTTTTGTCCACCTCGCTCAAGTCTTTTTTGGATAGGATTTCGGGCCAGGGCTTAGCGTGTTGGCATGTTTTTAGGGTTTAGGGTTTGGCGGCGCAAATTCTTCCTGACACATGACAAAGCACTCCTTCTCACACTTTCCTCGAAGGCTGATACCTTAGCTTAGGAAGTTTTAGGAAGACGCGGCAAGTCGAAATTTCAGGCCCCTCCCGCGAATTCAGCTTCTTCTGCAATACAGTAAGGTAGTTTGAATCCTGTAGGGTCTGGGACACGATGGGCTGCATTTTGACCATGGTCTTTCTCTTCACACTGTCCGGTGCGTCGTCCGTTTTCCCGAAGGTGCGCAGGCTCTTTCCCTCCTTTCGTGTACTTTCAGCGGGGCTCCAAGCACATGCTAAGCACGAAGCACTAATCAAGTAAAAAAAAACAAACAGCCAAATTGCGGATCGAATTTACTCGAAACGAACTCGGGCCAGAAAAAGTTCGGGTTGAGGCTTAGCCCTTGAAATGAAAGCAAAAATAGTTAGGTTAGGCATTCAAAGGGCCATGGCCTTCGCTACTAACCTGCGTTGGTGCTGACGGATCCTAGGCAACAGTAGACCCATGCAGTTTATTGCCAGCTTCACAGGACTCGCTGCAGGCCCCTTCAACAGCAAAGAAATGACCAATGTGCCTGAAAGTCTACTGCAACATCCTTAGCGTGGAGCCTTTGCTGTAGGGCGCCTCCACTCGCTCTCGACTTTTTCGCCGTCAGGTTGAAGATCTTCAAAGCAGCACTGCAAGCCACTGGCTGCTTTGTTTGAGAGGAGCATGGCTAGAGAGACTCGGCCGAATTGGGGCTCAGATGACCAAGGCATCGTAGTGCTGTCCACCCTGGGGAGGCATTGCTTGGGGTCTGGAATCCTGGCCTCGAAATTGGGGAGGGGCTAAGGAAAAAAACGCTTACATCTGCTCGAAGCCCTGAACCCTGAAACATGTAGGGAACTTGGAAACGTCGACAACGGACCCTTTAGGCTGTTGGGAAACGGAGCTGGCCGGAAGCGGCTATGGGGTTAGGTTGGTTTAGGGATAAGGCCAAGGACCTTACAAGCCCTGTGCCAAGAAACATGTGCGGCCGTGAGGCGCATGACGTCTGCCACCTAGGCGGAGGTACCTCAACTCGGGGTGCCATGGGCCCCTATGGTATGGACCCGAATGGCTTTCTTAGAAGCACCCGAAACATCCCAATGCCCTGAAGCGCTAAAAGCCCGAAAGCCTGGAAGCCCTCCGGGCTGCTGCCATCCCCGAGCCTCTCAAAGCAACAGCCTGGCCCAAATGGTGGTGTCCAGCGGTCTGCTACAAGACCTTGCTACTCCTCCGCTCGCCCCTTTGAATGCAATCGGACTTTCGGCCGTAGGACGGTAAGGAGCCAACTCAGCCCCTCATGCTCCTGAACTCTCATACTCAAGCCCCGCTGAACCTCCCAAACCCCATAAGCCCTTTTATTCCAACAAACCCCGAACACTGGGGCCATTAGGGGGCCAATTAACTTCGATGCCGCTGGGCAGCATCGACTTCCACCATGGCAGTCACTGAGCGACTGCCAAAACCGGCGCTAATGGACGCAACATGAGGGTTGTCGCTATTCAAGTGTTCCCATCGGTCTGCAGGGCATTACCCAGCCACAACAGGCTGACTAAGCTGAGATTTACCAAGCCCACAATAAGCGGAGTAAGCTGAAATTTACCACGCCGCGACAAGCTGAGCAATCTGAGATTTAGTGTTGTGGCTTGATAGAGCTGCGCGTTCTCAACTTGTTTCGGCTTGGTAAGCTTGTTGTGGGTGGGATTACCATGGCCAAGATTAAGATTGTCAGTGAGTCAGCGCACAAGGGATTGTGCCAAATTCTGTGAACAAAGTAGGCAAAAATGACACGGAAATCTGTGACAAATCATCTACGCAGTTCAAAGAACATTGCCAAAACAAAAGTGATAATTTTGGGTGTCAAATTTCGATGTACCAAAGACTAGGAAGGCGATTTTCGACCTTGCACTGTGCTGCTTACGCTACTTTTGTCACACACACACACATTTTTGCATCCAGGCCTTTGAAACTACTTTTGTCACACTGAACACTCTTATCCGATGGGGTTGGACGAGTGCCCAAGCTGCCGGGATCAGGGGATTGCTGAGCGGATTGCTGCACACACTTGAGATCAAACATGATCAAACCTTTTGTTCTGCGCCGCAGGTTCGGGAGATCTCAGGATGGGCCCTTTGCAGGCCGCTTGCTTCACGCAAGCCAGCACGGCCCCCGGCGCGGCCAAAGAGTCTACGTTGCGTTCAGTTAGGATCGAAGGTTGGCGTGAAAGCTCGAGCTGCAGCTGCGGTAAAGTGGACTAATTGTTTTTTTAATGTCTGACGTCGCTAGCATCATTCGAGATTCTGCCAAACTTCTCACATGGAAGCTTGCTGCTCAGCAGAAAGCGTGCCTGGCATGGGCCTGGCTGAAGTTTCCAGCTGCCGGCGGCAGCATCACTGGAACCGGCCAGAACCACGCAGCTATTTCGGGCAGTTCGAGCTGGGAGCTTTGTTGGTTGGTGCACTACGTATGCCAAAGAAAAGGCACCGCAAGGTTCAGAGGTAGAACAAGGGTATACTTCACTCTTGCCGCCGGACACTTTGGCTCTCCGAAGACTTTGGCTCCCCGAAGACAGTTGGCCCGAATCTGCGTTTCAGGGTAAAGTCGCTTTGGCTCTCCGAAAACCTTTCCCCTGAATCTTTCTCTGAAGTTTAAGATTCTTTGCCTCTCCGAAGACCTTTGGCCCGAATCTGTGCTTCAAGTTTAAGACGCTTTGCCTCTCCGAAGACATTTAAGGCCCGAATCTGCGTTTCAAGTTTCAGACGCTTTGGCTCTCCAAAGGCCTATCCCCCGAATCTGCATTTCAAGTTCTACACGCTTTGGCTTGTGGGGGCAGGGAGGGCGCAAGCAACATCTCGGAGCAAGCGCCAGCATACAAGCGAACCACCCGCAAATGTAGACATCAATGAATATCAGATTGAATACCAAGAATTCAAAACAGGAAAGCGCATCCCTCGGAAGCCACCTTGATCCGCCAATTGCAAGCCAACAGAATCCGTTTAGTGTGGGTGGGCTGCATATACGCTCTTGGGCAGTGGCTGTAGCAGGACAAAACTGCCAGCAGTGGAACGACAGTTAAGACAATAATTGCCCACACCCCCCTCCCTCCTGATTGTCTTGGTCCCATGCAGGCTTTCGAGAGAAGTGCGCCGGCAAAGATGATTGTGTGGGAAGCCCTATAGCTCACCGTTCGGGCATGTTGTCGAGTAGGGCTCCGTACTTCCCACACAACCACCACACATACACGACATACACAAGAACACACAGAAACAAACTTGTGTATTGTGTATCCCAATTCAGGCTTCAGTCAAATCTCCCAGCTCGAAAATTCCAGCAACGGCTGGCACGTCACGAATTTACCTATCTGCCACATCCCATGTTGGCTTGCGCCACAAACAAAGGGCCGCAGCACGACGCGCCATCTGAAACAAGAGCAACGAGCCTGTATGCTTTTGCAAATTGACATTCAATTTCCAGCTATGACTATGACGCCTGCCGCACTAAGAAACAGGGCCCACATTGCCCACGATAGGCGTTGCTCCTGCCCAGACGGAACTCCAGGGAGCGTCTTTGACTCCCGGGGCAAACAAAACCGACAAAAACCCTACATTTCTCGTCCAGACCCTTGTACATTCAGGTCTGAATTCCGTGCACCTCATGCCTGTCCCGGTGCTTTCAGCAAGTCGATCTCTAACCGGGACAGACTTGCATGCCACACACAGCAAGGACATGAGAATGGCAGGTGGGCTGCAAAGCTGGTTTGCAAGGCGCAGGTTAGAGGAAGTAGCCTTCGGCAGCACCTTAGCTACTGTAGACGTTCATGACACTCAAAGGGTTCAGACATCGACAGCAGACTGAGCCAGACACATGTGTAGTCGGAAATGAAGCTATCTGCTCTCACCCTCCTGGGCGATGTGTCGTTGCCCCGACATTGATGAGCAGAGTTGCGGCGACAGCCGGCGATGGCTACGCCACGTCAGCTCAAAGGCCACAGTGGCTGCAGGAAGCGGCAGGCTGAGTGCACCGCAACTGAGGTAGCGTCACCTCCTTCCCAGGAATGATAGGCCTCGGCTTCGCTCAGCTTGCAAATGCTGGCCAGCTTTTGCGCTCAACAAGTTCGTAGGTAGGCAGTGCACAAGAAGCTCCATGTTTCTCCAGAATCTGCCGAAAAAGCAGCGGGCACACTACGAGTACTGTGTTGCTGCGTGCAATGTAATTACACTTGCTCTACGCAAGTCTGAAACCGCAGTCGCTTTTGCGAGGTCGGACTTAGCGGTCGCGTCGCTGCCTTTGACCTCTCCACTTGAGATGCAGCCTGCCGCACTTCTGACTGAAGCGAAAGCTTGTCAGAATGTTCGCGAACCTTCATCAGCATTATCTGAAGGTGTACTTGCTGGGCCCGGCGCATGTCCTGAGTACATCGGATTACGAAATCACGTCTGGGCTTGTTCCTCTGGCAAGATGCCGCCCATCCTTGCGGCAGGTACATGTCCGATCGTACAGGGTGTTGTATCAAAGGACCCGTCGTCCATCGGGAGCCATGCCGCCATGCTGTCACGAATCTGTGGATCAGTCATCGCGCATCAGCTGTGCACCACTCTCGCGAGCAACAAACCGTCTCACCAGCTGCGCATCCGAATCATTGACCACACGCTCCATGAAGGTAGGGTCAACACTAGTGGCAGGTCGGTACTTGCGTCTGGTGTTCGCTAGTCTGCGGAAATAGCAGCAATATACAGGCAGCATCAACAGGATTGCTGCACTCGCTGAAGTTCCCAAACCCCATGCCCACGTCGGCAGCAAAGGCTGTATTGGTAGTGGTGGCAATGGAGGATGCATCTGATCCCATGTGAAGCTTTGGACGTCATCCACCGGAACCTCGAAAGCGCCAAACCAAGTGTTCATGGAGATCTGGTCTGCCTCATCCTCCGCGATACGCTTTGCAAACTTTGGACTCCTACGACTCTTTCGCCTCACAAGACAGCAGGCAGCAGGGTCCTTGGACAGGAATGGCGACACGACCTCGACGGACAGCAGAGGCGGGCCATTCTCAACCACAATGCCGTACTCCTCCTGAAGTGGCTTCGGCTTTTTTTACGTTGTAGGCACTGCAGTCCCGGTGCAGCAAGAAACTGATCATTTGCCAAGAGCCATGACCTTCACCGCTTCCATCTTGTAGCCCCGAACGTCAGATAGCGCCAAGCCCAACACGAAGGCGGTGGTGTTCAGCACTGACTCCTCTCGGAAGGCCCAGTATCCAAGCACTGGACGTGAGACACAAGAGACATCAAGAAGTCACGTCGTCCTGTACCACAGGATCTCTGGCGAAATCCTTCGGAAATAGCCGCATCGCATGTGCTCTCGCCACCCTAATTACTGCGGAAGCTGCATTTTTACAGCACAGGCCTGAAACGTGCTGCGGAATTTAAACCGGAGGTAGAACGTTTTGACAGGGGCGGCTGGAGGCTTGCGACAACGTCGGCTCCGCGGATGGGCAAAGGTGCCTGACAGGACTGTAGCACAAACGGTCGGACGAACAGGCCCCTTCCACTTCCAGCGCCCGGACAAAAAGCTCCAGTGGAGGCCTCCGGGACATCGAAGAACACAAGGTGCCTGAAGATCCTCCCACGTCACCGGCGAGAGGAAGAACAGCGCGCGACACTGGGTGCAAGCACTTGCCCCAGGACCTGTCGTAGTCAATCTGTCTTTCAGGGCAACGATTGAACAACTATCGTGCTTTGGAGATTATAGTTGCCTGGCTTCACAGAAACGGCCTGAGCATTGAGCGCAAGACTCGTCACACGGAAGGCATTGGTATGAAGTCCTTATCAGCAGCACAAAGAGTTTAAAGGCAGTGACGGGCAATAGTTCAGCAAAGGCATGATCCATGGTCGTGGCCAAGACTCCATTCGTAGTAACTGGTGGGCGGGCATGCCTGTCTTGCTTCAAAATTGTCAAAAGGCAATCACAGAAAGACTACAGCTACAGGTAATACTAGAGCTGGCAACTGAAGCGCATAATCATACGTTTTCCTTGGCGAGAGGCCGTCTGCGTGCAGGACCCGTTGTTGAGAACCAGAGGCGCCCGGCATGATGAACAATGAGCCGCTTCAGGTCCGAAGCAAGTGCGGCAAAGAACGTGACAGCGAAGCTCCCGCGAAATGAGAAGCTGGTACACCTCATCGCAAGGACACCAGACAATGGCATGCCGCGAACACCTACGAATCATGTCAAGGCAAAAAGCCATCCACGTCGACTAGTCTCTGATGCAAACCGTATGGGTGAACCTTCCCCCCCCCTGCAGGAACTGCGCGTTATGTTTGAAGTCATAAAATTTCGCTTTGCCCCCAATGAACTGCTGCAAGTCAAGCACACAAAACAACTATGCAGTAGGTCATGTTTGCAGGGAAAACCAATAGCCGGAACTCATGGCTGAAAGAACAACTTGTTTTGGATGTTTCATTGCTCTGTCGGAAAACGTGATTTCCCGAGGCTCAGGCCGTTTATTTTTTGAGGCGCTATAAAAATACTGCATGTTTTGTCCTGTGATTTCTTGCATGGGCTTGGTAGCGGAGGGGGAGGGGGGGAGTCATGGTGCGGGGCTTTGGTAGCTCGATGGTTCTCACGTACTTACCTATGACCTATGATCCGTGATCCGTGTTCTCTATAATTTCGCGTGCATAAGCAGGACGGCACATTGTGACGAACATACTTGCAGGGCTGCAAATACATAGATAAGGCAAAGCTGTCATGTATTCTCTTCCAAAACTCCCGGCCTTGTCAATAGTAGAGCTGTTTCGAGAATTATTCTAGACCTCCAATTCTGTCAACCAACCCAAATCACTGATACACATACTATTTATATTTTGCGCTTGGGGGACTAACATCTAACCAGAAAAAGCGCAATCCTGTGAAATTCTGGGCGCGGAATTGAATAAGGCTTTTTTCCCCTGGGCTTTTGCTTTGTTTTTTGGTTTCGGTTTTCGTACGAAAAAACACAGGTTTCGTGCTGTGCAGAGCTAAACATCGATCTGCTTTCATACGCAGAACCATAGTGTTGGTGTGCTTACATATGAAGAAACTATGGTATTGGTGTGCTCTCATACGAAAAACCACAGTGGTTGCGCTGCGAAAAACCATAGTTTTGGTGTGCTTTCATATGAAAAACCATGGTTTTTGTGTGTTTTCGTACGAAAAGCACAATTTTTTGTGCTGCGCAGACAGAGCGAGACATCGATCTGTTTTCATACGAAAAACACTGTCATGTGAAGAATAAAAAAACGGTTTTAGTGTGCTTTGATACGAAAAACCAAAGTTTTTGTGCTGCGTAGAGCTAAACATCGAGCTGTTATCATACGAAAAACCATAGTTTCGGTGTGCTTTCATACGAACAACCATGCTTTTGGTGTGTTTTCATATGAAAAACCATAGTTTTCGTACTGTGCTGAGCTACACATCGCGTTCTGGCCGCAGCCCCGTGCAGACGAAAAACCATCGCTTTCGTGTGCTTTCGTACGAAAGACCATAACTTTTGTGTGTTTTCATACGTACGAAAAATCCACAGTCTTGGTGCTGTTCAGAGCTTCACATCGAGCTGTTGTCATACGAATAGCATGGCCCAACGCCTGAACCTGAACCACGCTGAGACCTCAGCATTTACAAGCGGGGGGAAGGGGGGTTGGGGGGGAGCGCAGCCCCCCCCCCCCCCCATTTGCAAACACAATTGCTCGCATCATAGTTTTCGAAAGGATGCGTATGCTCTGAAGCAAGCTGGCACGACTTGAAAAAAAGGGGGGGGGTTGGGGGGGGCACCCCCCCCCCCCCCCCATTTGCAAACGCAATGCTCGCATCAGAGGTTTCGAAACGATGCGTATGCTCTGAAGCAAGCTTGCGCGCGTAAAAAAAAGAGCGTTGGGGCTTGGGGGGGCGCAGGCCCTCCCATTTGCAAACTTTAGATTGCTAGTATCTTCTAATATGTCCAAATATCCATTAACCCATTGACCCAATCCTTGTGGCCTTATTGCATGAATGGGTTTGGCCCGTTTTCTGATAGAGCTAATGGACTGATTGGCTGATGGCTTAATGGCAACGAGTTAACTCATTCATAGGGCCAAAACGATGGGGTTATTGGGTTAGAGGGTTGAGGATTGAAGTGAAAGTTACAAAAAACACGGCGGGGTATCTTTCGTTCCTTCCTGCATTCGTTCTTTCCTTCTTTCTATCTCTTCTTCTGCTGGGCTTCATTCTTTCTTTGTTTGGGCCATCTAGCAGCAAAACTTCTTTTAACTGTGATTGTGTGGTGGTGTTCTAATTTCGATGGGTCTCCCACCCAGACATCCCCCAAATGCCCACAAGAAGTATGCTCATCGCCCCAATCACACTTGCCCGAACTTCCAACTCGCTCTTGTGCATGAGGGCTCGCTTCCCTAGGTCAGAAACCCGGGTCATCTTAATCTTTGAGAGAGGCGCGAGTGGTGTGATACCAGAAGCTGTAGCTGTCGCCGAGGTGACGCGCACTTCAAGAAGAAGCCAGGTGTTTACCGGCACAGAGATGTACCTGTCGAGCCCAACATACCCCTTTCTCTATTTTGTGTCTCAAACGGGGAATGGGGCACCGGGTCAGTATTCCAGACTCCAGGCTTTCCCAATCGCTGCCATCCACACGTAGCTGAAGAACCGCGTCCGGGTCGTTCTTCGAGGCAAGGGCGCGCGTCCACGCGTAGCCGCCTCTCTCACAGCAGTGTGTCAACAATGTCAAGCGTTAGGTGGGTCTCAATGTCCCACTCACTTTTGTCTCAAAGGCGGAGCAATGAGAAGAGCATTCCCATGCTTTCCATGCTTTCATGCTGAAAGCCATTCGAGGCCTCCGGTGTTTGGATTGGCGAAGGCGAGGTACTGGCTGTGCCGAGGATCCTCAGAGCATTCTGAGAGCACTACCAAACTGACGCAAACGAAGTGGGGCCAAGAGCTGCAAGCGAGCGAGATCCAACAAAAGAGCTACATGCCAAAAGCAAAAGGCAGTGGCAAGCATCGAAGTAGATTGGTTCCATCCGGAGCGGGTCCCCGAAGCCATCTACTGCCATCAGGCCGGTCAGGGTGGAAGTGGCCGGAACCATCGTGGCGGGGTCTGGGTACCTCGGAAGAGCAATGACAAAGTGCTACAGCGCCATCTCGATACGGGCCACTGTACAACGAAACTGAAGTGCCGCTGACTGGCTGAAACTGAAAGTCAGAAGTGATCGTCGAACGAATAACCACAATCCTGGATGTAAAGACTGTGCTCAGAGTGTTCGCTGCTTGTTGCCTTTAAACTCTGAAATGTTCCGAGAGTAGTGAAGGACCATAAACTCCCACCGAACCTTGTCATCCTCTGTCTTACTTGGATTTCTTCCGCGTATTCCATGTTGTCGGTGCTTCAAGAGTCTGCAAGCCTGCTACCCTAAGCCCCCACTTCTGTCAAAGATAAGCAGGGCTTCTTGCCTCAAAGTCAAAGCAGGCAAGCACGGCAAAGCGGCACGACGAAATTAAGGGCAATTTGCACTGCCAGACTCATCATCTCGTTCAGCTACGAGCTAAGGACAGCTGAGGAAGAATGCAGGATCACAGTGATTACAGTGATTGCAGCCGACCGCAACCTCGGGACTGCCAAAGTCGCGCACACGTAACGGTGTCTGATTTCATTCTGGTGGCGAATAGTTGGTGCTCCGCGACTCATGCTGGACTTCCAGGACTAGCAGAGCAGCCTGTCCAAGCGACAAGATGCCACAAGTCAGCACAGCGCGTGCAAATTTCCTGCGCCCATGGGAGAGGGGGCCGCCCCGAAGGCTTGCCACCGAGTCCGTTGGTGAGACTCCACGCCCAAATGTGGATCTTAGGATTAGCTCCAATCTCGCTCTCTCCCTCTCTATCTTGATCGCTCTGCGTTCTCGACCGCTCCTGCCTCTTCACTGGGCACGTCTGCAAATGCAGAAGGTTTTCCAGAGACCAATGTCTCATGAAAGTCGTCTTCTGGCCGATGAAGGCGCAAGAGTACCTTGATGTGAAGCTAAAAGTGGGGGGAGGGCAGTGCAAGCATGGACTCTGGCTCCCAACGGGAACGAGCCACGGCATATCCCTGACGAACCACACAGAGAATCGCAACAGCCAAAGCTTCTTGAGGAACCGTCAGGGAATACCTGGCACGTTGCTTTGTACCCAAACACGATGCTGCACGTGCCACGCGACCACTAGACTCAGCACAGAAAGCATTCTGAGCATCTTGCTTCAGCTCGAACTGCGACCAGGCCAGTGGAGCTGCAACTCCGGTGCCTTTGCTGCATCGACCAGTCAGGAAACGGCTGAGGCCTCAAAGTGATCAAAGCAATAGTCAAGGCAAGGCATGGCGAGGCGCTCAGCACCACGGAGAGCTTCTCCAGCACAGGGGCATCGATACCAAGTAAACGACGAGGTGCCTTGGCTTCCCTCCATGAAAAGCTGACTGAAAGATCCAAAAAGATGCTACAAACTGGATCTAGACTGGACACATGCGGCAAAGAGGCACCTGCTGGCCCTGTGAGCGGACATGAAAAAGCATGGACGTGTAAGCAGCGGAAAGGCCATTCGTACGCCGTTTAGAATACTCAGCCTTGCATGTGCACATGTGGTGCCGAAATCTCCATGCCGACATGTGCCTGTGAGACCGTGCTGGAGCCACCAGCCCCACAGAAGCCATCGCCTCATGCACCTTCAATACAGAGGAGAGCTCTGATGCTCTGTATGGCACTTCGCATTGAAACTTGCCGATGCGCTGACTCTCCCCAAACCGACCAAGCAACCAGCCACACAGCGTGTTGCAGCTCTCAGAACTCCTTCCTCAAGCATTGCGCGCCATTGCTCGGCAGGAGTCTTCGCTACCTCGTTTGTCGGCCGGCAACTCTGACGCCCCGATCTACGTTGCTGCCGCGCTTTTTGTGGTCTCGGTCCTGGCTAGGTTGTGGCTGATATCCGTTGGTCAAACGGCTCTTGGTCAGACAGGGTCTGCAAGCCATCTCCATATTGACAGCCAGGCTCACGTGCGGCTTCAGAGACCAGACTGCTCTAAGTTGCCTGCTGCGTTTCACCTGCTCGCAGGATCCTTGCCTTCTGCAGGCGTCGCAGGTGGTCAGACCTGGGGGAGGTAAGGGTGTTGTGTCAAAATTGAAACTTGGACGGCTTCTTCAGCATCTCGATTGTTCTGATGTCTCCGAGGGCTTCTGTTTTGCAGCCCGCCACGCTAATCACCCAGAGAAACCTTTTTGGCTCCTGGTCTAGAGTCTATTCTCCTGCCGCTAAGAATAGCAACTTCAAAGAGCGACGAGCGAGCTTGGATAGCGACATGGAAAAGCCGCGTCCGAATCAGAGGTTGGCATCATCCCTCGCTCAGCAATGCCGTTGTCTTGCTGTCTCTTCCTCGGGAAGCCGGAGGCGGTTCTGCATCGAGGGTTTCTTGGGTGTGCAGGGTAGGGGCCCTTAAGCAAACCTCTTCTGGTTGAGAGGGGTTGGGGAAGCTCTGAATCCCAGTCTGATGCTTCACGAGGCAACACCTTTCTCGGGCCGAGGGCACCTCCTGCAACCCCCCCCTCACTTGCAACTGACCTAGTGGTCCTTAGCCCAAAAAAGCCCCACAGCTTGGCTGGATAACTTGGGACCATTCGTTGGTACTATCACGTATCGGAAGGCATTCCATGCTGCTAGAAGGCGACGACTCTCAATGAAGTATCTGAGGCTTGGGTTGTACATTTGGCTAAGAAATGTTCTGACTCAGATGTTCCCCAACACATCCACCAAGGGAAAACAAGGCCATACAGTGGCAGGTCGTCGGCATTCTAGCTCCTGCATGCTTCTGTAGTTCAAATGTCCTATGTGCCGGCCCCTAGCTACCTGACCCTTCTGACTGGCGTGACTTGCGTAGAACAGCTGACAAGGTTACATTTTTCTGGCTGATTCTGGACAGAAGTCGCATCAAGCTGAACCTTGGCAGCGAAGCAGCTGCAAATCCTCGGCTCAGTTGCACATTCCCTGCTCGTTCAATCGTAGAACCTCACCTCTGCCTTTCAATCGTTTTCATCCGCCCAGTGACCGAGCAGCGCAATGCCAAACGCGCCACCAACAGAACAGGGCAGGGCACGTGGCCTCAAAGATGGGCTAACTTACATGCAAATTCGGCATCCACTGAATGCCAAATTTTCGGCGCTGTTCATAAGAGCCATGTGCCCGAGGGGCGCATGATTTCCAATGGATTCAATGGGTCAAGGGTGGGAGGCTTGGGCTTGAATGAAGACCGAACACTGCTCAAGGCAGACATTGCCATGGCAAAGGGTGCCCTTCAAGAAACGTAAGCCTGGATAAGCTTCTCTCTTGATTCTCGAGGTCACACTCAGGAAAGCACATGTTTGCATTCCACGATGCTTCCTGAACCGTCATCGGCCGAGGCACCCCAGCCGGATCATCAGCATGCCAACTAGAAACGGTCCTCATGCTGTGGCCAACCCATGTTGCATGGGAACTATATGCTGACTACGGTGACTACAGTTGTCGAGCACCACAAGCTCGGTTGGAGAGTACCCTGTCCTGCGCTGGCGCCGAAATTCCCACCAACATTAATGACCTCGTTTGAAGACGCAACGTATCTGCTTCAGCCTTTCAAGCACATTAAGTAGGAAGCACCCCGAAGAAAAAAACTTACGAATTGGCACTTGCCAAGATGCAGCCAATTGAAATCCGGTTGGACTGCAGTGCTGGTTGAGAAGCGTGCTGCAATATGTCACCAGGGGGCCACCTGTTCCATGACTCCCATGACCATGAGTCACACGTCGTGCAATGTGGGGGACCATTTGGGGCAAGAGTTCGGCCTGCGAGGCCATACCAAATCAACGCCAACACCGTTGCCAGCACCGAGTTGGTGAAGGGCAACCAACAAGCGAGGCCCAGCAACACGAGGAGCACTTGGCCACGGGCCTTGGAAAAAAGCAAGCACACAAGCAAACAACAAGATCAAACAACAAAAGGAAACACATGCCATCTTACTATTACTAATCCAGAATCTGCCGCGGTGCCAAGTCCCACAAGCAGAAGTACTGCCTGATGCAGGAGGACCACGAAGACACATTCACGGGTCTTTGGAGCTGCAAGAGCCTGCATTTGTGAATTTGCAAACCTGCTTCTGGCAAGGTACTGATATCTAGAGGCTCCGAAGGAGCCAAACATCAACGAGCCCTGCAGCAGGCTCACCAATATGGGCGCCACTTCGGGATCATGGAGCTCCCCGTCTGCATAAGATACTATCCAGCCCAGCCTAGGCTTCAAGACTGGAACTCTCCAGGAACATACTACAATTGCACTAGAGTCCCCAGTGCCAAGCACAGCAAGCCCAAGTGTCAGAGCCGAGTTGGCTCCCGAGAAGATGAACTGCGCCACGGCGGCTGCAATCACAGCGAGCCACCGTTTTGTGGTCGCGGACCAGAAGCCGGTGACGTCCTGCTGCAGTGACTGCTCTCTGTGTTTTCGTTTTTGCCTTTATCAACAATTCTCTTTCTGTACTTTGAGGGGTTTCAGGGGGCGAACACCAGAATAGGGGTGCTCCAGGTGAGCGGAGGAGCTCTGATTGGGGATATCCCAGACCTGATATTCACCCACACCCCCACGAGATGTCCGTTCACGTCGGAACAAATACGGGAAGGCGCAGTGCAGACAGAACTGACAAGTGACGGGCTCTTCTACAGAGCTCGAGACCGACGCCCTGCCCACGACGCGCTCAGTCCGTCACGACACTTTTTGACACACATGTTTGGCCCTTTGTACTTAGGCACAGCACTCGCTCAATCCCCGAAACTGTCACCTCAGTGCTGATTCATGAAAAGGATTTAAATCCTATTGGAAGCTTTAGCTTCGGAGTCCTAAAACCCCTTGGAACCACAATTGCCTCAATTCTGCCAACTGACCCGGCTACCTTAACCAGATTGAAACGAATTCCCTCTCACCCTTCCTCTCTTTCCTTGCCCCCTCTCTCTCGAACTCCCTTTCTCTCCATCCCTTGTCAACTGCAAAAGGCTCAGACCGATTTGTACAAGGCGGGAGGCCTCTGAGCTGTCATCGGATTCCAGCTCTGCAGATTTCTCCACGGGCCTTTGTGGTGCCTCCCGCTGGTAGCACATCGCCGAAACTAAGAAAAAACATGCCAACGCAGAATGTCACAAGATACGATCTGACTTAAATATAAGTTCCAAAATGCAGGGGAGTCAAAGTTCTCCTTGTGCCTGGCTCGCCGCCAGGAAAGCCAAGGGTGGAGCGGCACACAGCGCCACGAAGCTGTACTCGGCGACAGGGTCTCCCTGCATCTGCCTCACGTTCGAGCAACAAATCTTGTCAAAAACGCTTCCACAGGCTCCCACTTTCCACCTCAAGCTCTCTCACGGACTCCCCTGGGCTAAATCCCGGTTGTAGCTCCGACTGTCCGGAGCTGGGCATCGTGACGTTGTGGCAGCGCTGGTATGCGCTGGTCTTGGAATCCAAGAAATGCATCCAGGTGGCAGCAACTTGAAAGTCAGCGGAAGCGCTGCGCTGGTCATGCCGAATGCCCCGTTGCAGAGAGCCAGTATGGGGCCCACCTCTAGGTAAACGCCGCAAGTGTATACTGGAAGAACTCGGACAACAACTTAGATAAAGGTATGTCAGAGTTTGGGCCCCGTATCCCTGGTGCCTCTTTGCCCGGGAAACTCCAGCAAGCTGCAGAGACTGTGAAGGAGACCAGAGCCGAACCACAACAACCGAGCAGAAAGAAGTTTCCCGACCTCAGCTTGCTACTCGGCGAGCTTTAATCCAAGCCCATCTCCAGCTCTCCGCTACAAAGAAAGCTTCAGTACAAAAATCTAGCACGACAGATTCTTCGATAGTGTTGTTAACTGTATGTACGAGAGGAACCAGCAACACTTGACTAGATTGACAAAACCTGTCCCGAGATGCAGAATGTGAAGGCTGCCAGTGGATGCTGCGAATGGCACGGCCACTACAGACAAGGCCGAGCTGCCTCAGACTCTTAGACCATCGGGTGGTGGCTTCAGCTATGCGACCAGTTGCCCATGCAGCCCGTGTAACTATTCTGAGCTCAGCCGCAAGATGGCCCAAATGCATAAGTCTATGCCGGGCTGCCGATACAGCAGCACATTGCTATCTTGATTGGGCAAACGTCGCACAACCAGCCGCCAAGCATGGTGCCTTTGCTTTACCACGAGTCCCATGCTCTGCCCTCCCTCTCTATCCCATTGGCCCATTGCCTGACTTTGCCGCTGACTCTGCCGAGCTGCCAAATACCGCTCCAATGGCACGTCCAAGGAAGAGCCCGTGAAGCTGCAAGCCATTGTCCAGATCCATACGCTTGGCGAGCTCATTCAAAGTGAGGCCCACAATGACCGTCTAAGGAGGACAGAAAAGGAAGACAGAAACTTACAAGAGCCCACCCACACGGCCTCCCCATGTCAGCCCATCTTTTTGCACCCAAGAGGCGGTAAGGGATTGATATGCAATCCTTCGACGGACAATGCTGCAAACGAACGGCAATACTGGCAGACAAGGACAAGTGTGTGTTCATTGTGCTTGTCCTAGCGCTTGCTTGCTTAGTATGGCATTATTGAAGTCAAGCCTATCTCCTTCCTTCCTTGCATCCCCCCTGAGCCGGGATTGCACCGAAGTGCGCTTCTTCAGTCCGAGGTCGAGTTGGTGTGACACTAGCTCCATGTTTTTCGGCGGCTCAGGCTTGGATACCCTGGTTAGAGAGACAGTGAGATGGTGGCTTAGTATGCGACAGCAACAGAACAGCCTCGAACAGTTCAGAAACACTACGGGAGTTGTTTCAATTGCAAATCTTTCTCTCCCCGCCACTTGTCTGGTGGCGTGCCAGAATGTGCTACATGCTACCAGCATCTTGTTGTGCGAATGAAATGCTGCGCCACGGGTTTAGGAGAATCCTGCCAGAATAACATGCATCTGAGGGTCACCGTCACACACGTCCATGCGCGGATTTTGGATCTCACGCTGAAGCTACGATAGAGTCGTGGTGGCCGCGACATGACGGCCATGGCAGGAATTCCCTGAATCAGTTCATCAGGATTGCATGATCTGTTTGTTTGGTGGTAGTTGTGCTGTAGTGTTGGTGCCAGGTTGCAAATGGCAAACTTCCCCGCAAACGGCACTTGTTGCTCGACTTGTTCTGGCTTCAGATGGCCAAGTCTATGTCTCAGTTGTCCAGAACGGCAGCGGGAAGCCAAAAAGCCTGAAGATTGGAGAGAAAGAGGCAACAGCACTCGGACCATGATGTCATCCGAAGACACAGGGCCGCCGCTGGGATGTGGATTGCCGCGACATGAGCCTGTCAAAAGACACTGAATAGTCTGAATAATCTGAATACAAGCCGCTACCCTCTTCAAACGGAGCCATTTACCATCTTTACCCTTTTCAGTTAGCTGTTTTAGCTTAACCCACGCCGAGGAAGGCTGACTTCCTTCTCCAGGCAATTCTACCCGCTGAACCCGATCCCCGAAATCTCGTCCATTCTGGCACCTCTTCGGAAGATCGGATCCCTAAGTTTTGGCTCTTGCTTCTTAATCTTTCGCCCTCAAATCCTCTGACGCCACTTGCGTCCATTTTTCTGCTCGTCCACGGATCCTGCATATTCCCTGCTTCGGGCTGGCCATGAGGCCCAGCAAATCTGATGAAACCCGGTAATCAACAGTCCCAGTGACAACCTTTGCAGCATCTTGACAATGTGCGACCTGAGCGACCTGCAGAACCGCCACCATCAACCTGCGTAAACCCTCGCTCCACTCCTCTCCTCGTCTTCAACGAGGCCGTCTTGCGGCGCGCTGCTCCGGACGCCGGGCGCTCCATGAGCAAAGTCAGGCTTTTGAGGGACCTCTCAGAGGGCAAGGGTTCTCGGTGCCCCATCGGCTATTTCACGCAGTCAGCTCAGAGCCACACGTTCGAATGGCTTTCGCAGTTTCAGTTGCGTTACCAACCTTCGAGCGAGCACGATGCCGAAGCAATCCACACTGTCTGTAAAATGCTGAAGACTCCAGCGGTCATGTTCTTGAAGCCACTTCGCCGGTAGCCTGACGGACGTCACACCGTGACAGCACATCAGACAGGACCAATGGCACACTGCTCTCCACAGGGCAACCAGCCTAGGATAAGGTCCCCAGTCTCAATGCCCGCAGCTGTAGCGACCTTCAGCGGTGTGTCCCAAAAGGCTTAGCCAGACCATACATGGGCTTGCAAGTGGCTGCATGCTCTGCGCCCGTGCTCACTGATGTGCAAACATCTACTCGGAGGCATTCATACCATCGGGCTTATTGGACTCTTGGAGGTGTTTTTTTGATTTGCCATGGCTGCAAGACTCTCGCATAAACACCGTGACTTTGTTTTTCAGGCCCTTACATCCAAGGCGATGCAAGACAACCACCTCCAGCTTTGGCAGAAGCGACTTTTTACCCCACCAGGGACACTCTGGGGCTGGGCACTCCGGGGACACTCTGGGACGGAGACTCTGGGGTGGGGTTGGGCACTCCAGGGACACTCCAGAGTTGGGCACTCCAGGGACACTTTGGGGTAGGAGTCGAGGGATGAGCGAGGAGTAGACCGGGCGAGGAGTAGACCGCGCGAGGAGAAGAGTTGAGTTTAAAATCTAACAACCCCAGAAGAGACGAGTTTAAAATCTAACAACCCCATACCTAGGGTGGGGAAAATTCCCTGGCGGGCACAAGTTCAATTGTTTGCCTTGCTGCGGCTGCAACAATCCCTTTCAGCTAGGGCTATACAATCACAAAAACCTCCGCATGGGCAGAGTTTATTTGCTTTGCTTTGCGGTGACTCTATCGTGCTATGCGAAAAAATCCTCCGTCTCGTGGACCGAAAAATATTTGTCATGTACATTACAAAGAGACTGGCAAACAGTTATGCCACAAAGGAAAGCCGGCAAAGAAACAAATGCATGTAACCGATTTAGACAGCTGGATGTTCTTTGTTTGTACTGAGTGCCTCGTGGCTCGTGTGTTAGTTTTTCTTAGTGTGGCACAACAAGTCCCAGCTGAAGTTGCACTCAAACAAACATATCAGATCCAATGAATGAGCCTCAACTGTGCTTGTTTAGAACCCCTATCTGATGTTCTATGCCGGCGGCATTGTCCGTCGACCAAACCACAAGCCTCGGAAGATCGTGATCGTGGAAGCGCCTCTCCCTCTATATCCGAGTGCGCATCCTCCTGTGAAGGCATCTGGAGCCCTCTTGGACTGCGCTCTGAGGGCTCTGAGGGCCCGGCGATCCGCAGCCCGCAGCTGCCGGGCGAACCACGAAGTGCTTGTGCAGCGTTGGCCTTTTTGTTGGCATCTTTACGGCTGCGGATGCTGCAAGTGACAGACTCCACCTTTACCCATCTTTTGCCCCAATGAACCCCATGGCGCATATGGGCCCATCATCGGATGAGCCCGGGTTTCACATTTCTGCCACGGTGCTCTATCTCCAACTCCCATTGCCTCTGCGATGCATCACCTGTGACTCGTGGGCACTTAGTGTTGCAGCGACCGAGCGACCGTGCAGTTGGGGCACACTCTTCTGCCGGCAAGCTGGTGCCGCAGTTCTGCCTTCAAGGCTCTTGAAGTTGGCTCTAAACACACTGCGACTCAGCTCGAAACACAACATTATGACAACATTACTAGGTGGCCTTGGCTGTGGCTGCAGCACGCGAAAGGTCAACATCCTTGGCGGTTGAGTACGGTGCGTCGTGCCCTTCCTTGTGCGCAGCAATTCAATAACTGGTTGAACTCAGCTGGACTTTTGGCTCCGCACTTGTGGCTGTCCACTGTCAGCTGGCGTGCTCTGCCGCGCCCGATGATGGTGTCCGAGCTAGCCTGCGCGACATTCAGGAACGGCTGCAATGCATCGCAATGCGTTGTTAACTAGTTAAAACTAGTTAACTTTGTTGTTTCTTGACCATTGGTCTGGCATCTGCATTGGAAACCCCAGCAGCCTCGGGCTACAAGCATCCGCAAACCCTCATTGGAGAACAATGCTGAACGTACTGCCTTGTCCAACAGCATCATGCAGCCGTGCTCTTTCAGGACAATGTGGCATTGCTGCAGCATGCGTCGAATGGAACCCGCAGCATCCGTCCTGAAGGGAGCTTAAACTGTCGAGGATACAGTGGCCGTGCCGCATGTTTACATCGTGCATTCATCTGTCCTTGTCAAAAAGCAGTCGATGAGCGTTTTACCAACGATTGCATCAAAATAGCCAGGATCGAAGCGATCAGCAAGTTGCAAAGCCTTGCAGCGAAAAAACGACCATGTCTGTACCTTCATGATCTGAGTATCATCTTCTGTAGACTCTGCACGCTACAAGCCGCTATGCTATACGATTCCCGCCGGATGACGTCCCAGCATTCCCACTGGATGTCCGGATGGCGAATCCGGTTTGCGTTGATGACCTAACAGTGGGCAGCAGCCAGATCCACGTATCAAGGCACGGCGAAGATGCGCCGATTTTTTCAAGCTGATGGATGCTGCACCTCCTGAGAGAAGTCCACGCCGATCACTGTAACCTTGCAGCAGGACCCAACCCTGCCGAAACATATGTCCATCAGAGATCATCAGAAAAGATCGGGAGCCTGGAAGTGGCTGCGGAGTTGCGTATATTCGGAGCACACCCTAGAGCCCCACGGCCCGAGATCCCAGCCCCGGCATCGCGCAGCAAGGGAGCCAGGTGCGAGCAGCCACATCCCAGCTCACAAACTCGAAGCGGTTCCGCCTTAGCTTCTTAGAACATATGAGGTGCGATGTCCAGCATGCCAATGCAGGATCCCCTTCGCCGACTGGGTTGCGGGCTGATTGGGGGAGTCCCTTCAAGACCTCGGGATTGAGTTTGGCCAAAAGCGACTTCTTTCGGACGACTGGGAATCAAAGCGTCACTTGCGAACATTCTTCACTTTCACCAAGACACATCCATGATCGCCTGCCAAACCTGGGCGGCTGATTCTTGCTATCGTCTACGGCATGCGTGGACAATAAAACGTCTTGCGGGAGGTGCACCGTGTCGTTCACCGGGCCGCTCCACTCTACAGCTTCCCCGTGCTTTCGATACCACCTCGGCAGTACAAGGATCACATAGCTGGACAAATTATGCACCCGCCGAAGCTCCAAACAATCAGGCGTTTGGGGTAAAAGAACAGCCTCCTTCATCCTCAGCACCCCTACTCCGCACCCCAATGTGCGATGGACCCCAAAGTCCATGGACTCTTGACCCCCCAAAAACCTCTTCTATGGAGCCGAATCCACATGCAGGGATGGCCTCCCCGTATGGACGTCCCAAAAAATCGGCCCCTATGGACCCCCCGTGGACGTTGAACAGAGAGCCAGCCCTTGCGGAGGCGCTGTGGACCCTCTATGCTTCTGTACCTTCGCAGGAGCAAAAGCATGCAAAGGCGCTCGGCCCTCTTCACCTGCCGTTGCCTGAAAAATGCAGGGCGCGCCAAGTCAGGGCGCGCTAGCACTAACGTTATGTCTCTGCCTGGCCCCGGGCTGATCCCAGAAGGTGCGTGTCTCATAGCGACGGCGCGGTGTTTCGCTGCCTGGCTGGGTCGCCGAAGTCGCTGTGCTGCCTGCACAGATGGAAATAGCTGGACCTAGCCTAGCTGAACATACCTGAACTACTTTGCAAGACATCCGCTGCTCGGAAACCACCCCACAGTCCACCTTTGCTGCTGCTACGGCTCTGGCGGAGCTTGGTCATGAGCTCGGCTGATTTTGTTTTGCGCGGTTGTGGTGCTCACCATCCAGGTTTCTCATTTTGCAACAAAATCAATAGTTCTAGCTCTAGCAGCTGATGTAGCGTGGTGCCGTTGCAATGCGACCATATACAAAATTCAACTCTGAGCCGAGCAGCCTCCTTTGCGCAGGCTCTTGCAGGCACGAACTGTTGACCATTGAGCCGTAGGAGTCATGCTAAATGTGGCTTACCCCGTTGGGTAGTCATGTCGCAACGGTGGTACTTGCAGTGGACAAGCAACGCAGGATGCACAAGGGCAAGTGGCTTCGACAGGCCACGTGCGCGGAGCTTGCGCGGATGTCTGCGCACTTTTATGTTTCAGAGTCTTAGCAGTCTTAGCGGCGATACGTCAGGTGAATGTTCAGACTGAGGGACATGTCTTTGAACGACAAAGTGCAAGCCACCACAGCAGCAGCAGCAGCAGCATTTCATTTCATTTCATTTCGAACGCATGTGCGGGTCATGTCCCACACCTTGGCGGGCATCGAGGGTGAAAATTAAGTGACCTACTCGTTCGGGACCTGGTCTGTTTCGATGTCCTGGCCATTGCAAGCCAGGTGGGTTGCGCTTCTGTACACTTCTCTGCGAGATTGGTCTTCAACCTCAGCAGGCAAGCTTGCAGGCAGGCCGAGTCTGGGGGGCATCAGCTATGCAGGCTGGCGCTTGTGCATTATGAGGCATGGAGGCTTTTCTTCTGCAGTGCGAGCAGTGGTCTGGAGGTGTGATTAAGTCCAGAATTCGGACTAGAGGAACTTAGGGATTCTATGGTTCAGTTTGCTGGAGGCGACCTCACTCGCATACTGGAACCAGGCTGGTTGTCCGATATGGGGACGCCAGAATGGCAGCTTCTCGAGCTCGAAGGAGGGACCGAAGCCGTCCACGATGAGAGGAGGTGAGCATCTTGAACACTATTGCGTAGGGCTTGTGCTCTTCGTAGATGTCATCATAGAGCGGATTGATGATTTGATAGAAGCGGAGGGCCATGCTGTTCTGGAAGTCTTGAGAATGATCCTCAGGGTTAGGAATGCCAGCATTAGCTCGAAATGCAGAGTTGACTTGCTTTAGCAGGGCATCCTCGAAGAGCTCCAGTAGTTCACCTCGCGAGATAACCGTGTCCGCGATCATGGATCGAATCCAAGAAACTTCCTCTGCATTAATCTCTCGAAGCAGCCACTGCCTGTACGTGACCAAATCCTCGCGAATTTGGTCCTGGTAGTGCGTAAGATGAGGCAGCAGAGCCAGGAGATGTTGGTCGTAGGACAAACCATTGAGGTGATGGTCCTGATGTTGAAAGCGCCATCCATTCTTAACTGGCGATGCCCCTTCGGCGGAAGAAGAGACTTTGAGCAGCTGCTGCACCCGGTATACTGTGGAGGCTCGCCTTAGCGCCTGCAGGTCGAAGTATTGAAGGTCCAGTTGCTTGTCATCGTGCAGACGAAGATTGTCAGGGAAGTAGTCCGAGCCTTGTCCTGGAGCATGCGATGGCTGTGACTGCTCAATGCCTGAGAGTAGGCGTGGAGTTGACGATCGCATGAGAAGGTGTAGATGCGACAGGGCGTTGGCAATCATAAAGTGCACCTCACCTTGGCCGAAGTGGCGCGTCAGGTACGTCCAGATGCGCTGGGTGGTAGGCTCCGCATCTTCGAGCTGGAAGGAGTTCTGGCCAGGACCATCATTGGTGTAGTCGCGAATCGCCTGAGAGATGAAGAGGAGCTGGCGCTTCTGATGGTAGGTCAGAGTAGGAGAGCGAGGCTCTGTCAGCATCATCTCTTCATGCTTCCGTTTTGCGGCCAAGTTTCGGGGTGCAGTTTTGGGAAGGTAGAGCCGCAACTCTCCCATGTGCCGGTGAACTTTCTCCGCGAGCAGTTTCAAGAAGCTGCAGGTGCGCGAGGCTATCCGTATCTGGCGGTTCAAGTGTGGGATCGCTTCCCCCGCAGGGGTGCGTGAGGATGCCAGGTCCAGATTGCTCGCTGCGGCGGCGCCAGATGGAGTTGTAGGGTAAACCGGCAGCGGTAGGAAAAGAGACTCAAGAAGTACCTCCATTGCCTGTTCACGGCTGAGGACGGGGTGAAGGTCTGCCATGGGCCTAGGTGGAAGTTCGCCAGGAGGGGACCTCACTCGTGCGAACCTGAGGGAAAACTTTGCGAGAAGAGCTGTGCTTAGTGAGGCTTGGCGTGGGAAGATCGGAGCTACACGCTTTTTCCCGCAATTTGGGAAGATAGTGCAGGGGACCTCACTCGTTTGGAAGGCTTTGGTGCTCGGACGGTCTCTAGCCCCGAATTTTGTCGTCTAGCGTCTGCTTCAGACGTTGACGATGTCGAACGAGGAGCAGTGTCAGCGCCACAGCAAAGTTCTTATAGTCATCATAGACCTGGTCGTGGAGCGGGGAAAGAATTGTGATGACTCCTTGTGCCTGCTCGAAATCTCCTTGGTCTCCTCCATATCTGTGTCGTATTTGTTGCCAGAGACTGTCAGCAAAGTAGCGATGCAGAGTGTCTCTAGGTAGAAGCTGATTCACTACCAGGTTGCGCACCCACAGGAAGTCCTCATCGGACAGAGGGGTTGACAGCCATAGGCGGTACAGTGTCAGGATCTCTCGGAGTGTCTCCTGATAGTGCGGGATCATTGAAACCAATTTGGTGTGGTAGTCCTCGTAGTCAAGCTTTGAGAGATCACGGTCTTGTTCAGGAAATCCCAGCCATCTCGGATCTGGTCGCTGGCCGATGTAGGTGTGGAGGCCGTAATAGTCCGCAGTTGTTGTAGTAGGCGAAGCTGAAGTGATGCTCTTTTGAGCGTTCTGAAATCGTATGCGTCAAGATCAAGCTGATGTGGGTCTTGAAGCCGGAGGCCTAGGGGGAAATATGCTTGGCCTTGCCAGGTCTCCGCCGTCGTTTGGGGATGCAGCTGGAGTAGGTTCCGTTGATGTGCTGGAGTGAATTCAGACCTCAGAATGACCTTGGCCTGCTCCAAAGTGCGGAGCAGAATGGCATTCAGCTCTGATTGCGAGAGCCTCCCGGTGAGATAATGCCAGGTTAAAGCACTAGCCTGATCGGCTTCGGACGTGCTAAAGGACGGCGAGCCTTCTCCGTCATTTGTGTAGTTGTGGATCATGAGGGTGAGGTACATGATTTGCTGGCGCTGGAGGGGCCCCATATTCGGGGGTAGGTGCGCTGAAGGCTGCTCGTCGTCGATGTGCTTGCGCTTACCTGCCAAGATACGTGGGCTAGCCTCAAGGGGCAGGGCAGTGTGTCTTCCCTCGCGCCAAGCCAGGTACCGATCCAAGTGACATATGAAGCTGCAGAGACGTGATGCTACTCGCATGCTTCGTTCTGCCATGCGTTCAAGGTCTTCTGTAGTGAAGAGGAGCCTCCTCGGGGCGAGATGAGTTGTTGCTGAGGCTGATGTGGCCATGTGCTCACTGATGCCGCCAGGTAGGTAGATGGTCGTTGGGACGTGGAGCGACTTCAGGAGAATCTCGAGCAGAACCTCGCGAGACGGTGAAGGCATGGCTGGTTTGCTAGCTGGATGGAGACCTCACGTGGCCAGCCTGTGTGGAGAGGCTGAGCCCGGCTGTGGCAAGCTTCAATGAAAGCAGAAAACTGCAGACTTGAATGTGTTACTAGGTGAATCAGCCAGGGCTGAGGCATTGGCTCTGCATCAGGCTCCAACTATCTGCAGAAAGACCTTATTGCCGGAGAATGCCGCAGTAGTCTTAGTGAGAAGGGACTGTGCTGCAGTTGGAGATGCAGGAGACTTTTCCGCTGCTTTATCTTGGCTTGCAAAAGGCTGCTGGTGTCCTAGTTGGACAGAGACGTTGCTAACCTGGTGCTCTACTTTGCAGGAGGGGACCTCACAAGCAAAGTTGCTAGCAGGCTAGGGTGCAAAAAGGCGAAGCAAGGACTGGTGCCTCTCGTGCGACAAAGTACGATGAAGTGATCGAGCCCGTTGGCGGTTCAGGGGAGTGAGCATCTTATAGACGATCGCAAACGGCTTGTACTCCTCGTAGACGTCATCATGTAGAGGATTGATGATTTGGTAGAAGCGAAGAGCCATGCTATTTTGGAAGTTCGGAGTGGAATCAACGTGGCGAGGAGACTCAGCACTGGCCTGAAGTGTATGGTTTACCTGCTTGAGGAGAGCATGCTCGAAAAGTTCGCGGAGTTCTCCTCTCGAGACTGCCGACTCTAAAAGTGTGTCACGGGCCCAGGCCGTCTCCTCTTCAGTGATGTCACGTAGGAGCCATTGCCTGTACATCACCAGGTTCTCTCGGAGTTGGTCCTGGTAGTCCGGGAGGTGTGGCAGCAAGGCCTGGAGATGCTTGTCATAGGGCAATGAGTCGAGATGTTGCGCTTGTTGCTGGAAGCGCCAGCCATTGGTGACAGGCGACTCTCCGCCCTGGGTTGAGTGAGATATCTTGAGAAGCTGCTGTACTCGGTATATCGTCGACGCACGCCTGAGTGCCTGAAGGTCGAAGTATTGGAGGTCCAAGTGTTTGTCTTCGGGTAGGCCTAGATGTGGGGGAAAATAACCCTGACCTTGTCCCGGAGCCATGGACGGCTGCGACTGCTCCATGCTTGACATCAGACTTGGTGTCGCCGACTTCATCAGGAGGTGGAGATGCGACAAGGCGGTGTCTATCATAAAGTTGATCTCTCCTTTGGCAAAGTGGCGGGTTAGGTACGTCCAAATTCGAAGTGCGGTATTCTCCGCATCTTCGAGTTGAAAGGAGTTTTGGCCTGGGCCATCATTTGTGTAGTCCCTGATCGCCTGAGATATGAAGATGAGCTGACGCCGCCGAAGGTAAGTCAGAGTGTTCTCCTGAGGCTCGTGGAGCATCATTTCCTCGTGCTTACGTTTGGCTGCTAGCTGTCGAGTGGCAGTTTTGGGGAGGTAGAGTCGAAGGTCACCCAGTCTCCAGTTGATCTTCTCCGTGAGCAATTTCATGAAGCTGCAGGTGCGGGAAG